CCTTATCTTGCTTCCATGGTTAGTAAGTAGCCAAGTTTGCCTTGTCTGACAAGTGATAAAGTTGAGGTAAGAGGAGTTGTGGTTTGCTTTAAAGACTCAGTGAGCATTTGCAGTCACATGATCTGACCACTACAGTATGTTCATTTGCTGTTTATTATTCTGGTGCTTTACATAGCTTTAGCTTTAACTCCAATGTGAGGGATTCAGTTTAGCAGCTATTTACTACAAAGGAAGTTTCAAGGAGACTTGATTTGGAGTGGATGCAGTGAAGGAATGGGTAGAAGAAATCAGCGATAACTCCAAACTTAGGAGCTGGAAGAATGGTGGTGCCATTAATGAAAATGAGGGTGTTGGTAGGAGGAGAGAAAAGTGAGTATTTTGAAGAAGCCAGGGTTTTATTATGTGTATAGTTACAGATTGCAGTACTTCTCTGCCTTGAGTTTCAAAGGCTGAAAAATTCATCTTTCTAGTATCTAGCCTTTCTAAACAAATCTGCTAGTCTTCAGATGTTTTGAAACTTTTCCAGCTCAGAAGACTTGGTAGAACTTGGTCTCCACTGGCATAGCCTGGGGGAACCTAGAGTTACCTACCTGGCTCACTTACATGGAAAAAGAGGTCACGAGGCACCATTTACCATGATAGCATTTTCTTCCCACTCTGGGTAAAAAAATCACTCCAGGACTGGAACATAGTGAATGGAACTTGGCCCCAAGACACTGAAGTAATGCCTACTTAGAGTTGTGAATCATACCTAGCCTCTTTTGTCATTTTACTTTCTTAAACATCCCTTTTACTTGTGGGAAAAAAAAAGGAAGCAGAATTGCATATGGATTTGTACTCGTCCTCCAAGGTTGACATGGAAGCTTGAGCTTACCATGGTTGTATGGTTATCTTTGAGGCCTTAGAGCCAAGAGAAGTGACTCAGGAGAGATTGTTTCAAGTGTTTGTGAATCCCTACTGGTGTTTTAAACCAAACAATATGTTATTAGTCAAAGAACTGCCATTTTGTGATCTCTGCATGCCCTGAAGTATACGTTAAGGTAGCTATCCTGAACTTTACACAGTTTTTCACTCCAGATTTTTTTTCTATATCCCTTTTTATGTTTTTAGTACTTAGGTAACATTCTTCTTTTCAATACCGTGAGAAAAATGTTAATTTGATATAATATTATTTGTAAATTAATGTTTAGTCTAAAGAAGATACAAGAGGAGAACATATGACAGTGATATTTTTATTTTTGTTTTGGCAAAATGTTCCACCAGCCCCAGAGTTTCCCATCTTGGAGAAGCAGAACTGGTTGATACATCTTCATTATATCCGCAAAGACTATGCAGCATGCAAGGTAAGTTATATCCTGAGATAATTGATTTGAAAAATGAGAGGCAGAGAAACTTTGGTGCTGTAAATTATTTTAAAAGGTACTTTCTCAATGCGCTAGTGGATAAAGATGGAATGACAGCTGACCACTCCTGAAAGTTTCCAAATTTCAAAGACGATGGTATATTTAGAGTAGGCCTATACAACCTGCAGCCTGTGGCGTGCCAAAGGATTTCAGGTGGCCTGTGAAAAATGTAGAGGAAAACATCCTTTGTAGGTAGAGGAAATCCTTTGGTGGGCTATGGGTTGTGCAGGCCTGATGTAGAGCTTTTTCTTGTGATATAAATCAGAGAAGAGGTAGAAAGACCTTCCATTTCTCATAAGGGTTTAAGATCTCAGAAGGCTACACCAAAAGCATCAGTTTCCTGTACTTTAACAGGTTACAGTTATGTAATTATTGGCCCCCAGAACAAGAATGTCTCTTAAGTCATCCAGCCACTTGGGAGGACAACCTATGGGTCTTTTCTTCTCTGTTCTCTAGAAACTTTGAAGAGTGGGAGCTCTCTTCTGGGCCTTTTTTTTTTTTTTTTTTTTAATTTAAAAACAAATTTTTTTAAATTTTTTTTCTTCTGGGACCTTCTGAAGAGCATTGTTGACCGCTTGACCTTCCTCTAGCACTCAGGTGGCAGTTTTTAAAATCCAGTTTTCTCTGGTACTGAATATTCTTGTTATCTAGAGGATCCCAGTCTATCCTGCAGGTAGCATTCCTCCTTTTCTTCACCCACTTTTTGAAGAGATTCTTTTTAATGTCTTCATCACATCCTGGGTTCTTGTTCTAACCAGTTTTATACAGGGAAGGAAAGGGGAACTGACCTCCAAGGAGTACACAAAGACAAAGCCAAAAATTTCTTCTGAGGGACTTATTTTAATTTAAAGGTCTCCTAAGCTCCAGACCTTCAGTGTTCTGAGAGGACTCTGCTAAGAGGAAAGTAGTCCAGAGGTGGGGCCTTAAGAAAGCTAAAGTGATGATAACTAGCCCTAATTACTTTCCCCACTAAACCTTTAAGTAGCTGTTTCACAAAGGGGAAGAAAGGGGATTAAATGTTGCCTTAAAGAAATACTTGAACACAATAGTCAATGACTATAGTAATCTACTGTTTGATAAATCCAAAAACCCCAGCTTCTGGGATAAGAACTCACTATTTAACAAAAACTGTTGGGAAAACTGGAAAACAGTATGGCAGAAACTAGGCACAGATCCACAGCTTACACCCCATAACCAAGATAAAGTCAAAATGGGTACATAATTTAGATATAAAGGCTGATACTATAAGCAAACTAGGAGAGCAAGGAATAGTTTACGTGTTAGATTTATGGAAAAGGGAAGAATTTATGACCAAACAAGAGATAGAGAACATTATGAAATGCAAAGTGGATAATTTTGATTACATTAAATTGAAAAGGTTTTGCACAAAGCCAATGCAACCAAGATTAGAAGGGAAGCAGAAAGCTGGGAAATAATTTTTACAGCCAGTGTCTCTGATAAAGGCCTCATTTCTAAAATATATAGAGAACTGAGTCAAATTTATAAGAATACAAATCATTCCCCAACTGATAAATGGTCAAAGGATATGAACAGGCAGTTTTCAGAGGAAGAAATTAAAGCTGTCTATAGTCACATGAAAAAAATACCCCAAATCACTGTTGATTTGAGAAATGCAAATCAAAACAACTCTGAGATACCACATTATACCTATCAGATTGGCTAACATGACAAAACAGGAAAATGATAAATGTTGGAAAAGATGTGGGAAAATTAGAACACTAATGCATTGTTGGTGGAGTTGTGAACTGATCCAGCCATTCTGGAGAGCAATTTGGAACTATGCCCAAATGGCAATAAAACTGTGTATACCCTTTGACCTAGCAATAGCACTTCTAGGGCTGTATCCCAAAGATATCATTAAATGGGAGAAGGACCCCACATGTACAAAAATACTTATAGCAGCTCTTTCTGTGGTGGCCAAGAATTGGAAATTGAAGGGATGCCCATCAGTTGGGGAATGGCTGAACAAGTTGTGGTATATGAATGTAGTGGAATACTATTGTGCTATAAGAAATGATGAGCAGGCTGACTTCAGAAAAGCCTGGAAAGACTTGCATGGACCGATGCTGAGTGAAGTGAGCAGACCCAGGAGAATGTTGTACACAGTAACAGCCACAATGTGTGATGACTAACTTTGATAGACTTAGCTATTCTCAGTAAGGCAAGGATCTGAGTCCCATGTCTGAAAGTCTCATGATGGAAAATGCTATCCCCATCCAGAGAAAGAACTGTGGAGTTGGAATGTAGATCGAAGCAATATTATTTGCTCTTCTTTTTTTTTTCTCTTCTGTTTGGTTCTGTTTCTTCTTTCTTGTGGTTTCTCCTATTGGTTCTAAATCTTCTGTATAACATGACTAATGTGAAAATATTTTTTTAATCCTTGATTTAAAGAAAATTGGCATTTTTAGCATAAACAAATCCTATACTAGCGTTTAATACCAATTAGAATAATTTCATCCAGTTTAACTTCTGGATGAAATTATTCTGATTGGTATTGGTGCCATTTCTGTTGTCTGCATCCCATTTTTTTTGAGGTGATAAAGGAAATATTGAACAGACAAAGAAGCCAAAAGAGCCCTTAGTGATCAAACATTCAGTTTACTTAACAATTAGGACAGATGGCTCCTGAACACTGGCTTAGATTATAAACTCTTCTACTTTGCCAGCATTGCTATATGGCAATAAGACCTAGAACACAACTGCCTCTGAAGGGTTAAAGAAGAGCATCACACAGTCAGGGCAAGAGAAAGGTGCATAGTGGGTGTGAGCAGGCTGCATCATATAACCTTCAAGGACTTTCGAGGAAGAACAAGAGTAAAGGATGTCATTAGGAATTGTGCGATACAAAGAGAATGTGGTCTGGTCACACAGAGAGAATAAGAGTTGATCTGGATGGCTGGAAGGCTCCACTGGTACCTATATAAAACATGAGAAGAGAGTGAGGAGGGCCTGTTGGGTGAATCTGCTGTGGCAAACTGTCAGACAGACATGGGCAGGATGAGCAGGTGTGAATGGGTGGCAGTCTGCATCATTGGAGGAAACTCTTGAATCAGTGAGGTCACACATCCATCTGAGTATTTTATTTTAAGGCCATTATCTTCAGTTTGAAGGACCGTAATCCCATTACGGTGAATCTCATTTAAGGGAAAGAGAAAACCATTAACACAGAGGATGTTGCCTTTGTTTGGTTTTATTGATTCCTGTTGCTTTTTATACCACAGATATTTCTTAATTCACCTACCCTCATCCCATTAGAACCTTTTTAGATGTCTTAGAAGGCATCTGCCCTATTATTATCATCTTCCTTGTTGGTTTAGCTGCTTGTTCTCAAGGTTTTTGACTGAGTTTTCTTCCTAATGAGATCTTTGATAGTTTCATTCTTTTCTTTTCTTTCTGATACCTTCCCTTTTGATGTCAGATCCCTTAAGGGTTGTACCTCAAAATTGTCTTAGCCTTGAGAAGATATGGGAAAATTGGAACACTGATGTATTGTTGGTGGAGTTGTGAAATGATCCAACCATTTTGGAGAGCAATTTGGAACTATGCCCAAAGGGCTATAAAAATGTGCATACCCTTTGACCCAGCAATAGCACTTTTAGGGCTGTATCCCAAAGAGATCATATAAATGGGAAAAGGACCTACACGTACAGAAATATTTACACAGCTCTTTCTGTGGTGGCAAAGAATTGGAAATTGAGGGGATGCCCATCAACTGGGGATGGCTGAACAAGTTGTGGTATATGAATGTGATGGACTACTATTGTGCTATAAGAAATGATGAACAGGCTGACTTCAGAAAAACCTGGAAAGACTTGTATGGTCTGATGCTGAGTGAAGTGAGCAGAACCAGGAAAACATTGTACACAATAACAGCCACATTGTTTGATGACTAATATTGATAGACTTAACCTTTCTCAGCAATACAAGGATCTAAGACATCTCCAAAGGTCTCATGATGGAAAATGCTATCCACATCCAAAGAAGGAACTATGGAGTTTGAATGCAGATCAAAGCATATTATTTGCAAATTTTTTTTCTTCTGTTGAGTTTTGTTTCCTCTTTCTGGTGGTTCCTTCTATTGGTTCTAATTCTTACTTATGACATCACTAATGTGAACGTATGTTTAATAAGAATGTATATGTATAGCCTGTATCAGATTGCACGCCATCTTAGGGAGGGAGGGGGAGAAAAATTTAAAACTCAAAAGCTTATGGAAGTGATTGTTGTTAAATCAAAATAAATTAATTTTAAAAAAAAACTGTCTTAGCCTCCTCATATGCTGTAGAATTTACTTTTCACCAGCCTCAGTTTTTACACCAAATGACTTCTGGTGGGAGGACAGGACTAGCTTTAGCTGGCTGCTAGTTCCCTTTACTTCCGGCCTGGTGAACTCCCCTCCTCCAACACAAACACCCTTATCCAGGATGTTTCTTAGTTGTCTAGCAGAGCCTCAGGCCAAGCAAGCTTTCTTCTTCCTGTACTGCCACCTCCCCACTCAGGAAAGAGGGGCAAAGCAAGTTCTGTTGCTATGGCCTTGCCAGAGTGTAGGGGATTGTGTGATAGGCATGCCAAGTGGGCACATTGGGGATTATGGATTAATCCTCTCTGCTGTTGGTTCATCAGGGTGTTAGCTCATTAGGATTCTTGGTGGCTTTAATTGTGGAGATAGCTGCAGTGACTTCACTTCTTGTGCTTAATTCTTATTTTGGAGAGGTTTGAGAGGTGTGAGTATTGGAGAAAATGTCTAGTCCTCCATCTAGTGTGTGGCTGCATGTATCAGCAAGAGTATATGACAGAACAGCCCTGTTGGATGGGATAGACCCAGGTACTCCTCCACAGGGAAAAGAGGAGTGAAGAAACCTTGGCATACCCTGGGTGAGGAGTGCCTCCTGTGGGTCATTGATCCTGTCTTCCTCTGTTGTGATCTGAAGACTATCTCACTGAAGGATCTAAGCTAGCTGAGTCCTGGCATGTCTTTTTTCCTTCTGGATACCTGGTCTTTGTCCATTCCTCTCTTAACGTTTTTTAAATTAGGCCTTGTGTCAATTAAAATGTGCTGAATAAAAACATCTTGCTTTAGCATCACCTATTCACCTCTCTCTCTGTCTCTGTGTCTCTGTCTCTGTCTCTCTCTCTCTGTCTCTGACTCTCTGTCTCTGTCTCTCTTTCTCTCTCTCTCTCTCTCTTTCTCTTTCCCTTTCCCTCTCTCTCTCTCCCCCTCCTCCTTGTCCCCCCCCTCCAGATATCTGCAGCAGAATAGAGCAGGTCCTTACCAGACGATCAACCATTTAACAGCACAAATGGATAACCACGATTATTCTGGGGGCACAAGTGGCTGCGTCCTCTTTGGAGCGTCCCGCTCTCTCTTCCAAGCGTTCTTTGGTCTTGCTTCTTCCCTTTCTCCTCTGTGTGACATTCTTTCCTTCTCCAACTTCCAGATACAGCTCTAGATTCCCTCTGCCTCTTTAGATCCTTTTATTCCTCATACGTTTGGATAGAATGAGCTCTCTGAGGGCGGGCAGGCAGACAGGCTGGGAGCAGTTATTTGAAAACACTTCCTGTGGACCAAATGCCGGAGATGCACATGTAAGCAAAAAAGAGAGTCCCTGTCTCAAGGAGTTTCCCTTCTAATGGAGAAAGCAAGTCAAGTTAGCTCGCATTTATTAAGCACCTGCTGTGTACCAGGCACTGTGCTAAGCCCAAAGGATACAAAGAAGGGCAAAAAATCCCTTAGAGATTCTGTTCTCTCTTTGTTAGGATCATAGAGGGTCAGAGTTGGCAGGGATCTGAGAAATCACTGCAGCCAATGTTTGTCTTATGGGTCAGGGGAACAGCAAAGTCACAGCTTCATACTCAGTACACACTTTGGTGCATGGGAAGCTGTGGCAGGTTAACGTAACACCAGGCCTGGCTCTGGGCCCTCAGTAACAGACAGTGATGGCTGCCTGCACTAACAGTGAAGAGGGAAGTGAAACAGTGTAAAGGAGGCTCTGGAGGGGGATTCACGGAGACTTGAGTTTAGATTCTGCTTCGGTTACCTCACGAGTTGTGTGGTCTTGGGCGAGTCACTTTCCCTCCTGAGCCTGAGGTTCCATATCTGGAAAACAGGTTTGTTGTGAGGCTCCTCTGAGATAATGTGTATAAGTGCTTTATAAAACTGTAAATACAAGTACATAAAATGTAAGTTGCTCATTTTTTTTTTACCAAAATATATTTTGATAGCTCTAGTCAGATAATGGTAGTTCCTCATAGTATAATTTTTAATTCATATCTCTGAAAAATTTAATTTTTAGAAAATTTCAGTTGATATTCAAATGTATCTGAATAACTATGGAAATATTTTTTTTTTTAAAAAAGCATTAAAAAAAACTTGCAGTGTACAGAGCTCGTTTTTAGTGTGGAGAAGTAGAAAGAAAACTGGGCCTGGAATCAAGAGAGGCCTGGTTTTGAATCCTGGCTTTGAAACTAATGTGCCCTTAGAAATAGCATTTTGACACTAGGAACCTTAGTTTTATTATCTGTTAAATGGGGATATTTATACTCCCGACATCGCAGAGTTGTTGGGAAAGAAAGTATTTTGTAAACCTTAAAAGGCCACATAAATGAATTAATGGAAATCTTTGTTTTCTTCCACACTAAGCAAAAGTCCTAAGAGATTGCTGAGTTGATTTGCCTCCCTGAATTAACTACTTTATAATAGATAATTTAATGTTTTAAGAGTCTCATATAAATTATTAACTTCAGTGTGCAGTTTTATGAGGATCTGACAAACTACATATCATGGTTTTTTTCTTCTTTTAGGCTCTTATCAAAGAACAGCTTCAGGAGACTCAAGGGTTGTGTGAATATGCCATCTATGTCCAAGGTAAAAAAAAGTTCTTTTCCCTCTTTTTTTGTGGGAGAGAGATGTAGATTCAGATTGTAGGTCTGAAAACAAGCTTCCAACAAAATACTTACTTGACCCTAATTCTTTCCTTTTCATACCTCCCTCTTCTGAAATCTGGAAAGGCTGCCATGTTGTGTTGTTTGGAAGCTAGGAAAAAAAAGAGATGTTCTCTTCTGTCTTAGGTCAGCCTTCTTTAGCTGTTTTCTATCCAAGTCAGTGCTGAGGGCCTTGGGACTCATGTAATGATTCAGCAGTGGGAGAAGGAGCAGGAGCTTGGGAGACCAGGCAGGATTGGGGGCAAGGGTGGAGCTTTGGGATGCTGGGATAAAGTTTTCCTGAAGGAAAATTGATCAGAAGCTCTATCAGGACCACTGAACTAACCTGTGTTCTTTAATATAAGATAACCACATTCAGGAACTTCTCTTGCTTCTGTGTATAAATGAATATTTTTTATTCAGTGTATACCAAGTAGGTAGTCTTGATAGGACTGATGTGATCCCATCTGCTATTATCAGCATGCTACATTAAGGTATGTTGGGGTAGATTTGGCAGAAGCACCATAGTGTTGCCATCTTTAAAAACTCTGGACTTTCCAAGCCAGTAATTCAATTCATTTCAATTCACTGAGCATTTATTAAGCACCTACTGTGTGTCAGGCACTGGGCTAGGTGTGGGGGATACAAGGGCAAAAATCAAAACAGCCTCTGCCTGAAGTCATGGAGATTCTGGAGAGAAGCAATGTGTATCCCAGTAAATACATACGAAATACGGACAAAGTCCAATTGTTGGTGATCAGGGATGGTCCTCACAATGGGGGCATCCTAAAAGGTCATACATAAGTGATGGCCCTTGAAGGGAGCTGGGGATTCCAAGCAGCAGAGAGGAGAGCTATTACTGTAGAAAGAGGAGGAAAGCCTCCATCGGGGTCAGGGGCACGGCCAGGAATGGTGTGCAGGAACTAGCAGGCAGACCCTAGAGATGAGTGGAGAGGAGGGAGTGTGAAATCGATTTAGAAAGATGGGCTGGAGCCGGTCCATGAAGAGCCCAAAGTGCCAAACAGTGGAACTCATCTCTTCTTCTAGAAGCACGTAGGGACTCTGTGAAGTTGCTTCTGAAAGTTTTAGCCCAAGAAAAGTTCTTGGTTTTGGACGGACAGAAGCCAAGTCTGAACAATCACCCAACTTCTTTTTATTAGAATCAGAGAGCAGCCTGTGGCCAACATGTAGCAAGGATCTAGGGCAGGGGCCCTTAACCTGGGGTCTGCAAACTTGCTTTTTTAAGCTATTTTGATAACTGCATTTCAGTATAATCGTCTTGCTTAGTAGCCTCATGTATTTTATTTTGTGGATTTCAAAGCATTTTGAGAAGAGGTCCTTAGGCTTCAATATACTGCCAAAGGGGTCCGTGTCATTAAAAAAAAAGTCTAGAACTCCTGTTCTGTTCTTGAAATGATCAGGTGGCAGCAGGCAAAGGAGGCCTCTCCCAGGGGGAGGAGTGATGCTGTTAGAACATCTGGTGGGCACTCCACTCTCACTTGGACAGTGCTAGTCATTTTGCAAGGGAATGCTAAGGGAAAATAGCTACAGGTTGTAAGGTTGCAGACAACCTCAATGTAATTTATTTCAGGGGCATTTTGACATCCAGATCCCTTCTTTAGTTAGATCCTGATTGATGCAGTGCTTCTGGGAAAATGTAATAATAGGGTTTATGTTAAATTCTTTACTAACAGGCTTTGCTTATGATAGCCAGTCTCCTTTGTCCAGGGCATGGTTTTACTTGCTTTTTGTTTGTTTCCACATAGCTTTAATGTATCGCCTTGAAGGGAATATCCAAGAATCCCTAGAACTCTTTCAGTCTTGTGCTGTTCTCAATCCTCAGAATGCTGACAACCTCAAGCAGGTGGCCAGGTCCTTGTAAGTATTGTCCACTGGCTTTGGAATTGCGGAGTTAAGATTAGATTTTCTTTCTTCACTACATAGTGCATGGTGTCAAGTGCTGTAGTCTTCTTGGTGCCATCATGTGCAATGGCAGCCTGACCAATAGGTACTTAAGAGAATGTAGATTCATAAAATAAAGCATGCTTCCTTTTTACGGTGTGAATTATTTCTAGAATGTGTGAGAGAATATGGTAGGTAGTGAACTGAATGTTTAATTTTAAAGAACTGTTTATTTTCAGTTCAGATGGGTAGGGACTGATTTAATCATGTACATAGCCCTCATGCTTCTGCTGTGGGATTCCACACCTTATTGACAGCTAGGGAGTTTTCCTTGGTTAGGTTCCCGACTCTTATTTCTGGATAATGGAAAGGAATCTCTCATCCTTTACACCTAGATTTTTGTATATCCAAAGTTCTTTAAGGGATTCACTCCTGTTTCCTTTCTTTCTGTCTTCTTAATCTCTAAAAAACCACATAGGTTTGCATCTAGGGAGGTAGGAGAGTTTGACTATTTGATAATGTTAACATGTCTTAGCATTGAGGTAGGAAGGCAGTGTAGTTAATTTTTTAGTAGATATTTGTACTGAATTTTGTACGTGGAGTGTTAGTGAAACAAGTTGGAAGTCGAAACATTGTTTCTCCAAAGGAAAATAATAGAAGCATAACAACAGCTTACATTTATATACTTAGTATATCCTTATAATACCTTTTTATACTTAACATCTACTGGGATTGTTAGCAATGGTGGGGATGGAATGTCAGGATTCACATCACTGGCTTCTTAACTGGTTTCACAGAACTCTCGTGTTCCAACATACATGTCTGAATGTTTCGTAAAATAAAATATCATTCCACTGCACTACAGATGATGCTCCAGACCTTGTCTCTGCATTGCATCAGAAGCTGGAGTTCCACAGTAGGGAGAACAACCATCCAGAGGTTCCATAGCTCCTTTACATGTGGGAGCCACTGGTCCAGATGTCTGTGTGAGAGCTCTTTCTTTTTTATGGCTGTTTTTATCACTTTAATTTCATGTCTCAGCCTCAGTGTAACCATTCTTTTTCCTGAATTCCATGGAAAGAACATTGGACTTAAGGGGAGTGGGCAAATCCCTTAACCTCTCAGCTGTTCAGTTTTTTTAATCTATAAAATAGGAATAATAATGCTGGATAAAGTGTAGTGAGGATCAAATGAGATAACGTATGTAGGCTTTGTAACTGTTCATTCCCACATAAATGTCATCTGTTGTTATTCTTCGGAAAGTCAGAGCTTCGGCATCTGACAAGTCCACCTGGTTCGTAACATTCAGTTCTTTAAATTAGACGGGAAAGGAAGAATTGAGGTACAACAGAGGTTGTAGATAAAACTCTGGAAATGGTCATTCGGCTCTTCAGCCTGCTGGTCAAGCAAGCAGAACAGTTTACTTTGAAAAAGCTTCCTAAGACCATGTAAGGAAGGGATGTGCCTGAAATGTTAGGCTTGTGGTTTAATTGGGTAAGAAGAGTGATTTTCATAGTTATGCAAATTCCATTTCTTCTGCAGATTTCTTTTGGGGAAACATAAAGCTGCTATCGAAGTGTATAATGAAGCAGCTAAACTTAACCAGAAAGATTGGGTAAGCAGAAGACTTTCACTTCTTTTCAATTAGTAATTATGCATACCTCATCATTTATCAAGTTAACATATTCTATTGTAATTTATATTATATTAATAGTATGTTAATACTTGTCTTGATCTTATATGGGGCATAGTGAGCTGCTGTTAACAAAGAATCTGATACCAAAACTTGAACCATAGACGTCCAACATGCATTTATTAGTTACCATGTATTTGTTATGAATATATCTTATATAAATAAGCCTATGTAAGTATATGTGTATATATACATACACATACATCCATATACACATACACATACATTTGTACACATACACATAGGATACATGTGCACATACACTATGTACATACATGCAGATATACATACACACATACACACTGGTACGAAACACATGCACGTAACACACATATACATGTGTAAGCATGCACATGCACATGAGATCAGACAGCTCATCTGAATGTCTTTTCCCATCAGTAGCATTTATTAAGTACTTCCTGTGTGCCAGGCACTGGGCTAAGCACACAAAGAAAAGCAAAAGACTGTCCCTGCTCTCAAGGAGCTCCTGATCCAGTAGGGGAGACGACACGCACACAGCTATGTACCCACAAGATAATGGGGTTTGGAAAAGGCTGGGACTTAAAGAAAGACGGGGAAGCCAAGAGGTGGAGTTGTGGGGATGGGGGAAGACCAGAGGGAATGCCAGGAGTCTGGAGATTGGGGTTTTGTTCAGGGAAGAGCCAGGAGGCCAGTGTCACTGGATTACAGAGTACTTGGGGGGAAGGTGAGTAAAGTGTAAGAAGACTAGAAAGGTAGGGAAGAGTAGGGGCATGGCATCCTGAGCTTTGAGTGCCAAATAGAGGATTTTATATTTGATCCTGGATGTGATAGAGAAATAGCAACTGCAGTATTACTTAACAAAAGACAGACACAGACAGTTAAGCACATGGGGTTGCTGTATGTGCTTGTCTGTCACCACAATTTTTTTCTTCTCTGAACCCCCTGATCTTGGTATGCTAGGGTTCTGCAGAATACAATTTTAGAAATGCTTCACTGTAGGTGGATTTCTGAATTACATACATTAAATTATTTTTATAAATAAATTTTATTGATATCTTTTGTTTTCACATCAACTGCAGACATTTCCCACTGTATCTCCCCTTCATCCTTCCTTCCCAGAGATCCATTTTATATAATAAAGAATTACAAAAGAGAAGAGAAAAAAAGTTCAACACAACTAACCAACACATCACAAAGGTCTGAGATTGTATGTAGTGTTCCACACTCATAGACTTTTCCCAAACATATTTTCATGTTAGTCATGTTGTGAAAGAAAACATAGACCTCCCCCTCCAAAAGAAATAAACAAGAAAAATAAAGAAGCATTTAAAAAAGTATGCTTTGATCTGCATTCAGACTCCACCAGTTCTTTCTCTGAAGATAGGTAGCATTTTTCATCATAAGTCCTTTGGAATTGTCTTAGATCATGGTATTGATCAGAGCTGAGTCATTCACAGTTTATCATCGTACAATATTGTTATTATTATGTACAATGTTCTCCTGGTTCTGCTTGCTTCACATTGCATCAGTTTAGATGAACTCTTTACAGGTTTTTTCTGAAACCACCCCCTCAACATTTCTTATAGCACAAGAGTACTCCTCACAATCATATATCACAACTTGTTCAGCCATTCTTCAATTGATGGGCATCCGCTCAGTGTTCAGTTCTTTGCCACCACAGAAAAAGCTGCTATAAATATTTCTGTACATGTGGGCCCTTTTCCTTTTTGTTTTTTATCTCTTTGGGATACAGACCTAGTAGTGGTATTGTTGCATCAAAGGGTATACTAGTTTTATAGTCTTTTGGGCATAGTTCCAAATTGTTCTACAGAATGGTTGGATCAGTTCACAACTCCACCAACAATGCATTAGTGTCTTAGTTTTCTCACATCTTCTCCAATATTTATTGTTTTCCTTTTCTGTCATATTAACCAATCTGAGAGGTATGGGGTAGTACCTCAGAGTTGTTTTAATTTGCATTTCTCTAATCAATAGTGATATAGAGCATTTTTTCATATGACTATAGATAGCTTTGATTACTTTGTCTGAAAACTGCCTGTTCATGTCCTTTGAGCATTTATCAATTGAGGAATGACTCTTATTTTTATACATTTGACTCAGTTCTCTATATATTTGAGAAATGAGGCCTTTAACAGAGAAACTGGCTGTAAATTTTTTCACAGATATAATTACTATGTATTTCCCTCCATTCTGTTTCCCCCCTATTTATCCTACACACTCTCTTCTTTCACCCTGTCCATCCTCAAAATTGTTTTGCTTCTGTCTACCACCTTCCCCAATCCACCCTCCTTTGTATCAGCCTCCTTACTTCTCTTATCTCATTTCTGAGTTTTCATAAGAGTAAGATTCAGTGCTCTGCTTTAACTCTTCCTCTCCACTATAAAGCTTTTTCATGCCATTCTACCTCTCCTTTTCCCTTCTCTCAGTGCATTTCTTTTTCACCCCTTATGACATCCTATCAGATTCAACTCACACCCATGTCTTATATGTATACTACTTCTAACTGCCCTAAAAATGAGGTTCTTAGTAGTTACAAGTATCATCTTCCCATGTAGTGATGTAAACAATTTAACCTTATTGAATCCGTTACGATTTGTCTTTTCTGTTTACCTTTTCATATTTCCCTTGAGTATTTTTTTTTTAAGGCAATTGGGGTTAAGTGACTTGCCCAGGATCACAAAGCTAGGAAGTGTCAAGTGTTTGATATGAGGCCAGATTTGAACTCAGGTCCTCTTGACTTCAGGGCCGGTGATCTATCCACTGCCCTTCCCTTGAGTCTTGTATTTGGAAGTTACAGGTTCTGTTCAGCTCTGAGCTTTTTATCAGAATGCTTGAAAGTCCTCTAGTTCATTAAATGTCCATTTTCTCCACCAAAGTTTTATACTCAGTTTTGCTGGGTAGGTGATTCTTGGTTGTAGTTCTAGCTTTTTTGCCCTCTAGCATATCATATTCCAAGCCCTCTGATCTTTTAATGTAGAAGCTGCTAGATTTTGTTATCCTGACTGTAGTGCCACAATTTTTGAATTGTTTTTTTCTGGCTGCTTGCAATATTTAATCCTTGACCTGGAAGCTCTAGAATTTGGCTATAATATTCCTAGGAATTTTCATTTTGGGATTTCTTTCAGGAGGTGATTGGTGGATTCTTTCCATTTCTATTTTACCTTCTAGTTCCAGTTTTCCTTGAAAATTTTCTTGAAAAAAAAAAATGGAATATCCAGGCTCTTTTTTTGGGCAGGGCTTTCAGGAAGTCCAATAATTCTTAAATTATCTTGCCTGCATCTGTTTTCCAGGTCAGTTGTTTTTCCAATGAAATATTTGATATTTTCTCCTATTTTTTCATTCTTTTGATTTTGTTCGATTGATTCTTGATGTCTTATGAGGTCATTAGCTTATACTTGCCCAGTTCTGATTTTTAAGAGATTTTTTTCTTCACTGAGCTTTTGTACCACCTTTTCCATTTGACCAATTCTCCTTTTTGAAGAGTTATTTTCTTCAGTGAATTCTTTTACATTTTTTTCAATTTGTCCAGTTCTGCTTTTTAAGGAATGCTTCTCTTCGGTGGATTTCTTCTTCCTCTCTTATTTGATTTTTTAAAATCCTTTTTAAACTCTTCCAGGAAATCTTCAAGATTTTGGATGTAGCAGTTTTGACTTTGTTGGCTTCTTCTGAATTTGTGTTTTGTTCTTCCCTCTCACCATAGTAACTTTCTGTCAGGTTCTTTTTCTGTTGTTTGCTCATTTTCCTGCCTATTTCTTGACTTACAACCTTATGTTAAAATTGGGATCTGCTTCGAGGGTAGAGGGGGCATTGTCCTAAGCTTCAGGTTTTTTGTGTAGCTGTTTTTATAGCTAGTTCTGGGGGTTTGTAAGTTTTCATTTTTTCCAAGGTAGTATGATAGGAGGAGAGGTGTGTTACTACTCTTCTGGCCCGTGTCCTGGTCTGTGAGCGATCACAAGCACTCTTTTCCACCCTGAAACTATTACCAGGGTCCCTGCTAACCTGTGTGGCAAGCTCTGGCGTGCTAGTTCTCCTACTCACCCTCGGACTGTGACCCAGATCCAAGTAGGGATAATGCAACAGAATCCTGCACCTAGTGCCAGCAAAGGAACCTCTGTGATCTCCTTCTCCCCAGTTACCCAACCTCCTTACTGTCTGTGGGCTAAGAGTTCTGGAAGCTTCCAGTGCCAGAGCTGATTCAGTCACCCCAACGCCTGCTGCTGGTTTGCTGGGATACAGCCTGAGCTGGACTGAACTCCACTTTCATCCAGGTGTAACAGACCTTTCCTGCCAAGTTTCTCAGTTGTCTTGGGGTGGAAAATTGTTTCTTTTGTGGATTCTGCCCCTCCAGAGTTCATTTTGAGGCATTATTTAAAGTTGTTTGGTGGGGAATTTGGTAAAGTTCAGGTGAGTCCCTGACTTTAGTCAGCCATCTTGGCTCTGCCCCCTGGAGCTGTAAATAAATACAACGATTTAGTGAAGCAGTTTAGAATTATACAAATAAAGAAACTAAAATGTCCATACCCTTTGACTTATTAGACTTACACCCCAAGGAGGCCATTGATAAGAAAAAAGTACCCATATATACCAAAAGTATTTATAGCAGCACTTTTTGTGATAGCAAGGAATTGGAAACAAAGTAGATGCCTAAAATTTGGGGAATGGCTAAACAAACTGTGGTATATAAATGTAATGGAATATTCCTGAGCTGTAAAAATGGCAAATGTGATGAATACAGAGAAGGAAGGAAAGATCTACATGAACGGATGCAGCATGAATTAAGCAGAAGAAGACACAATATACAATGACTGCAGCCATGTAAATGGAAGGAACCACCAAAAATTCCACAGAAATGAATATTGTAAAATGGTAAAAAACATGTCTTGAAAGAAGAGATATGAGAAGACATTCCCACCTCATGC